GGGGCAGGTCGTGGAGGTCCCTTGACTAACCTTTGACTTCATAGTGAGCGTAGATCAGCGGTGCGGATGCTTTTAAATCTGCTCCTGAAATCCACCGAGTGTCGTCGCGATCGCATGCTTTGAATGTGACTTTGTACTGCCGCGGCTTGCTACCGTACTTGCGATCGGAGATGACGCGGTCAACTTCCTGATGGCCATCCATAGAAGGAGGGTCCTGCGATCGTCGGTCCGAAAATTCGTCGCTCTTGGCTGGCGTGTATGTTGCCAGCTTCGAGGCGTGGAAGACCGGATGGACCGTCAGATGCTGTGGAATGATGATCACAATTGAAGGGCCATCGGGCTCATCGCCCGCGGCTGCCGTCACCGACCAAGGTCCAAACCACTTGGGAAGCAGTTTGCGTGAAACATCCTGTTCCAGTGCAAACTCTTCCGCGGAGACCCAAACCAGATCAACGGCGCGGATGGGACATGGTACACGACGCCTGTTGGCTTGCTGCTGCATGCGGACTTGAGTCTTTTGCGTATTTGCGCGGGCTTGAGTCAGCAATTCCTTGTACTTCCGGATGGAAGCGGAAGAGCAGGCAGCATCAATGTCGGCTGGTCGAGGGAGGAGAAGGTCGGCGAAGATCCGGACTTTCCGTCCACCGTGGTGCAACTCGAATGGAGTCATGTCGATCGCCGAATGCACCGAAGTGTTGTAGGCGAACTCGATGTCGGGGAGGCGGTCAACCCAATCTTTCTAGTCCGGACGGATGAGCGTACGAAGCATCATTTGAGCAGTTTGATGTGCCCGCTCCGTTTGCCCGTCTGTCTGAGGATGTCGAGCCAAACTTGGTTTCATTGTTGTGTCGGACTCCTGCATGAGAGCAGTCCAAAACGCCGACATGAAACGAGTGTCGCGGTCGCTGACAATGTCTTCTGGTACACCGTGGCCACAAATCCAACCAGTGTGCAGGAAGCGTGCTAGGTCGGGAGCCGCGGAGTAGTACTTGCAAGGCAGAAAACGCGCGTACTTACTCAATCGGTCCACATCCGTGAGGATGCCGTCGTGCACGAGCCGGTCACGAGGAAACGGACCGGTGACTCCATGGCAATGGAGAGACCGGGTTCCCGTGAGATAGGGATCGGGTGTAACTCGCCGTAGGGATTGCGGTTGCGGGGCTTGCTGCGTCGGCAAACTTCGCAAGAGTCGCAATACCGAGTGACATCGGTAATGAGGTCGGGCCATCGGAATCTCTGTCAAAGCCGTGCAATAGTGCGGTTGACTCCGAAATGGCCGGCGAGTTGTGAATCATGATACTCGCCGAGGAGGCGAGTCCGAAGACGACGGTCGCGTGGAACACATAGTAAGTCCTTGCCTCTCGAGTGGAGGAGCAAGTACCCGTCGGCAATGCGTTAATGGCTGGTCGGCGGGTGATCCGAAGATAGCTGTGCATAGAGCGTGTCGAAGTTCGGATCAGACTCGTATGCCCGGATGAAGTGTCGCTGAAGCTCCTCGTTGAATGCGAAGGCATGATGTGTCATAGCACAAAGATCTGGTCTTCGCGAGAGTCCATCCGTTGCGCGATTGGAGAGGCCGGAAAGATGTTTCGATGTGAAGTCAAACTGGTCGATGAAGTACATCCATCGTCCGATCGTGCTGCTCATCGTATCCTGCGTCTTGTAGTAGGTCAATGGATTGTTGTATGTAACCCGTGTGAACCTACGACGCCCAAGGAGGAAGTGCCTCCATCGCTTGAGATCCATGACGAACGCGAGTAGCTCCTTCTTCCTTGCATCATCAAGCGAGTTGATGGGAGRCACTTTGTGGCTGAAATACTCCACAGGGTGCCAGTCGTCGCCGTCGTGCTGTTCCAAGACTGCCCCAATGCCATAGCCGGAAGCGTCCGTAGTCACTCTCGTCGGCAAGGTGGGGTCATAGATGTTGAGGACGGGTGCCATGAGCATGGCCGTCTTAAGTGCTTGGAATGACCGGCGTGCATCATCATCGAATATGAATGGCACCTTTGGCGACTGTAACCTCGTCATAGGTGCATTAATCCTGGAGTATCCAGTGATGAATCGCTGATAGTAGCCCGCCAATCCCATGAATGAACGAACGTCCGTGGTGTTGGTGGGATCGGGCCATACTCGTAGGGCCTCGATCTTGTCCGCGAGTGGACGGATGCCTTGCGGCGTCACATAATGGCCCAAGTACTCCAGCTCCTGCCGCGCGAATTCACACTTGTCGCGGTTTGCTTTGTACTTGGCCTGTCGTAGCCGCTCCAAAACGGTGCTCAGGTGTTCCACATGCTCCTCCAAACTCCGGCTGTACACCAGGATGTCGTCGAGATAGATAAGTACGTATCGATCCAGCATGTGTCGGAACTCCGTTGTCATAGCCACTTGGAAAGTGGCCGGGTCATTCGTAAGGCCAAATGGCATAACCAGCCATTCGAAATGCTCATACCGTGTCTTGAACGCAGTCTTGTAGCGATCCTCCTTGCGAATCTCGAGTTGGTGGTACCCTTACTTGAGATCCAGCTGAGAGAAAAACTGGGCGCCGCCCAATCGCTCGAGAAGATCATCGATGCGTGGGAGAGGGCCGGCGTGCCTGATCGTCTGCGCGTTGAGCTTGCGATAATCGTGTATGGAACTAATACTCCGTTTCGATCACGAATGCGAACGGTGCGTTTAAAGAAGTTCACCGGGTGATCCTCGCTTCGCAGCCATGACATGCCCAAGATCATGTCAAATTTGGTGTCCAGAATAGCAAAGGACACCGCCTCACTTGCGTGAGGGGCAAAGTACACGGGGACGGCGTCAATGCACCGGTCGATTGACTTGTGCGTATGATCGTCTGCCAACGTGACTTGCGTAGGCAAGGACTTCCTTTGGACACGTGGGCCAAGGCCGGCGCGTACCATGAAGTCCTGGTTGACGTAGTTGCGAGTTGCTCCGCAATCGATCAAGGCACTGCAGGTCGCCTCTTCCATCTAAATGCGTACGTATAGCAATGGTGTGTCGGTGTCGTTGTACCGTTGCGTCTTGAACTCACGGTCGATCTTCGCGATGTGCGCGAGAAGGTCAACAACCTCTGCTCCGGCGTCCATCAACGGAGCTGGTACTGCAGTGTGTAAGTAGTCCCGCAATTGTGCCATAAGCACGTTGCAATGCAGTTTCAGCATTCGTCCGGTCGAGGGAACGGGTATCCACGGGAAGTCCGTGAACGTCAATGGGTCGAGCTCTTCGAGTCTTGACCATGACGTCGAATCCCCGGCGATAGATTGCGGCGAAGCTGCCGAATCGGTTGCCGATGGTGATGAAACCGTGCATGCGGTGGACTGTTGCACGTGGAGCGGTTGGTCCAGCGGTGGAACCAAGTGTACCGAGGACTTGCGACATTCGCGTTCTCCCCATATGTGCAGGAGGCCGCTAGCAAGGCGGACGAATTTGGTGGAATAGTAGGTGGAGTCACCTTCCACGGAGCTCAGTTTCCCGAGCTGAGGCGGGGTCGCACATCCTCCTTGCCCTGATCTTGGCACAGGGAGGTCTTGTGCTTGGTGCTGTTGCACCAGTAGCAGCTGCCGTAGCGGCCGCGGACCTTGTACTGGCTGTCCATTTTCGGCCTGTGATGTGGATTTCGCCTTCCCATTGTTGCGGGACTTGTTGGTGCTTCGCGGCTGGACAACAGCCACCTGATCTCCGTCACTTGATGCTAGAGTGGCTGCTGGGTTATCTCCACTGTCCTGCTGGACTGCAGCGAAGTGYTGCTGTCGCGGACCAGTTCGTACCTTCTCCACATAGGTTGGCTGTCATGATGTTGATTTCTCGTGTGTAGCTGACCTGTTGGTCTTGATGATCTCCCTCTTTTTGTCAATGATCTCCGCGAAGGTTGAGTACTGCTCGCGATCACCAAGAGCCTGGCTGAATGCAGCACAGGACATGTTGTAGAACTCACGTCTAAGATGAGTGAAAGGCAGCTCCAGATTGGGAACTGCCGCAATCTTTTGCCACTACGTGAGCCAGTCCCGTGTTGCCGTGTTGCCCTGTGACATGGTGAACAAACGGTTGATGGCGAGTGTCGGCGCGTCGTCGACGATGAACCGCTTCTTCCACAGCCGTGTCAGTTCCTCCCATGTGAACTTGTCCTTCAAGTCTGGTACGTCGACGTCGTGGGAGGTTGCCAGGTGGCTCAACCAGGTCTGGCATCCGCCCTTTGAGTTCAGGAACAGGGCGCCGATGTACGCATGCTTGGCTACATGCAGAATCCTGAGTTGCGTTGTGAATGCTTCCCACCACAGGACCGGATCCTGCTGCGTGTAGTCGTCGAACCTCTCCAGATTGAAAGTTAGCATCTTATACATCTTCGGATTGCCATCCGCGCTTGTCGTTTGCAGCTGCTGGACCTCGGTCTTCAATGTATGCAGCTGACTGCTGATGGTGGTGGTCAGCGCAGCGAAGGTGCTGATGTCGCCGAGCATTGCCACTACGTGGTCAACACTGTCCTCCAGTTGGCGGCTAGAGGGTGCACTGCTGGAAGCCCCAGCAGCTGGGCTGGTCCTGGTACAGTCTATTCCAGGTCCAGCAATCGGGCATTGAGTGCCCGAGTTGCATCCTCGTGGCTCTGCACTATGCGGCCGAGCTTCGCCAACTCCTGATGCTGTTGCGTCAGGTCCTGGTACTGTCTCTCCAACTCTGACCGTTGGTAGTTGCAAGCGTACAACAACCTTGTCACGAGTTTGGAGAGGAACTCCTTGTGCTTCTCTTCCGGTGTTGCCTCGTCGCCGTTCGGTTCAAAGTGCCAGAACTTGAGTCTGTCGATGCTGTTGGCTTCATGACGCTGCAGCAAATCCTGGGCTCCCTTGCGGCGAGCCTGGGCATCTGCGTCTGCATCGGCCTGTAGCTGCAGTTGCTCTGCTGCTACTGCCTCTTCAGCCTGTACGCGGGCAGCCTCGGCTGCCAGCTGGCATTGTTCCTCAGCCTCTATCTGAGCCTGGAACCGCTGCTTGTAGGTTGCAAGGGACTCGTTGGGCAGTTGGCCTGGCAGGCCCGTCATGTTGCTGACGTGGCACTGCTGACGTGGCACTTTGTCTGACGTGGCACTGTCTGATGTGGCACTGCTGATGTGGCACTGCTTACGTGGCAGTGTCTGATGTGGCACTGCTGACGTGGCACTGCTTATGTGGCACTGTGTCTGACATCACTGCTGACGTGGCACTGAGTCTGACGTGGCACTGTGACCTGGCACTGCTGACGTGGCACTGCTGATCTGGCACTGTGACCTGGCACTGTGGCGTGGCACTGCTGATCTGGCACTGTGACGTGGCACTGCTGACGTGGCACTGTACCGAACCGAGATGCATGCAAGGGGTGGATGGGAGGGAAAACGTAGGTAGGTAACCAACCCGACAAGACTTTCCTCCGGCCCTAATCAACAGATAAAATAAAAATAAAAATAAAAGAGGACTTCTTCCTTTTTTTTTTTTTTTGTATATATTTGTTGATCTATGATGAGTAGGATATGTCAGAAGAGTATTATGAACGAGATCTAGGCAAGGTTCCGCAAAGTTTCGGCTTTTACAAACTGCGATCTTGAAA